TATATATACCCAAATCATCACATTGGACTCCGTTTGTCCGGCCGACTATTTTTTAGACCATATTTTAGGATTACCCATAGAGTGTCATCCCAGCTGTCCTCAGTGTTCGGCTCATTGCTATGAATCAGCAAAGCCAGCAGAGCATAGTACAAAACACAGACAGAATGTTCTGTCTGCTCGCTGGATTACTGGAGCTATTTCCAGATAGCACTCTGTAGTTTTCTTTCTGCCACACATACACACATAAAGGTTTTTAAGGGCGGCCTGCCTCTGGGGACAGCTGTGCCTCTCTGAGTGAGGCTCACTGAGCCATGGCTCCATACATTCATGTGTGAAAGCAATGATGGCTCTGTATATGTCTATAAATACAGAAGTGCTGGCTAGTCTTGGGATGCATGAATTCTTAGATCCTAGATTGCTGTAATATTTCTATTGTGTGCTGGATTCTGATGCTTTATGCATACAGCAAACATGACCCATTCAGCCCCGATGAAAGACCCTATCAGATCAAAAGAACTGTGAATGGCAGCACTGTGTTCAGAGATGGTCTTGACACAAGCTCTGGGTGTGACCATGTTTGCTGTGTTTGACTGTGGGACGTTATGTGCCTTATCTGCTGTCATATAGTTAGCCTGTATGCTATATATGTGTATATATAGACTCGTACACAGTATGTAAATGTGTAAATGTGGGTCAGGAAAAAAAGAGGAGATTATGTGCAGACAGATCCGCTCTTGGTGTCAGTGCTGTGGGATATATTAGATTGAGGGATTTCTAGGACAGACACCAGAGAACATTCAGATTGCCCTCAACTACACACACACAGTTCAGGATGTCCTCATTCATTCTCCATATGCGCTATATGTGTAATGATGCTTAGTCCTGACAATAGTGAAAGGGAAAGAAAGAAAGTGAAGTGATGTGTGGCCAAGTATGGTGACCCATACTCGGAATTTGTGCTCTGCATTTAAAGGTGCTGTATGTAAGTTTTTGACTCTACTAAAGCATAAAAATACCATAATATGTTTGCAGATGTTTAAGAAACATGCTAAGTTAACATACTTGTTTATCTGAAAAACAATGCTACAGTCGTTCCGGGCCGGAATGTCGATCTCTGTTTTGGTTTGTGAAACCCGCCCACTGCCAGTTTACCCAATTGTATTTCGGGACCCCGGGTTGCCAGTTGGCGGAAAACACAGCATATTTAATTTCATTCATCGTCAAGTGTGCGCGTTCCTGTTGGTGTCGTCAATCTGGCAACCTGCTATTGTGCGTCAAGTCTGAGGAGGTGGGGCCGGGTGAAAAAAACCCTCTCCAATATTTTGAATTTGGACTGCAATACCTAGTTCAGCCCTCTGTGTCAATCCTACATACAGCACCTTTAACCCATCCAAGTGCACACACACACCGTGAACACACACCCGGAGCAGTGGGCAGCCATTTTTGCTGCAGCGCCCGGG